GCAATAATAAATGGAATGTCATAGGGTTCCCAGTGATCAGTTGTTGGGCGGAAGATATTCATAAAACACAATATCTATAATCTGTGTATGATATACGAGAACAAGCATACCAAGTTTGGTGTACATGGCTCTTATAATTCCCGACTTAATAAACAATATCGATAGATTATTTAAGACGGAAAACTATGCAGTAAAAGCCAAACCTCGTGAAAATCGCATGAGATTTGACCGAGTTATGGGGTTGGGAAATATTGATCCATGTCTATTTACGAAACTAAGGTGTAAGATTTTGACATGAATTTCGACTAAAATTCACATAGTCAGATTTGAATGCCAGATTATTTAAGAGGGAAAACTGAGCATAAAAAACCAAACCTCGGGGAAATCGGATGAGATTTGGCCGAGTTATAGGGTTGGGAATAATTAAGCCATGTCTGTTTACGAAACTAAGGGGTAAGATTTTGACATGAATTTCGACTAAAATTCACATAGTCAGATTTTAATGCCAGATTATTTAAGAGGGAAAACTGAGCGTAAAAAACCAAACCTCGGGGAAATCGGATGAGATTTGACCGAGTTATGTTGTTGGGAAATTCCGACCTATGTCTATATACGAATCTGAGGGGTAAGATTTTGACATGGATTTCGATTGAAATTTACATAATCAGATTTGAAAGCCGGATTATTTAAGAGGGAAAACTGAGCGTAAAAAATCAAACCTCGGGGAAATCGGATGAGATTTGACGGAGTTATGGGGTTGGGAAATATTGAGCCATGTCTATATACGAATCTAAGGGGTACGATTTTGACATGGATTTTGACTAAAATTTACATAGTCAGATTTGAATGCCGGATTATTTAGAAGGGAAAACTGAGCGTAAAAAATCAAACCTCGGGGAAATCGGATGAGATTTGACGGAGTTATGGGGTTGGGAAATTCCGACCTATGTCTATATACGAATCTGAGGGGTAAGATTTTGACATGAATTTCGACTAAAATTTACGTATTCAGATTTGAATGCCAGATTATTTAAGAGGGAAAACTGAGCATAAAAAACCAAACCTCGGGGAAATCGGATGAGATTTGGCCGAGTTATGGGGCTAGGAAATTTTGACCCATGTCTATTAACGAAACTAAGGGGTAAGATTTTGACATGAATTTCGACTAAAATTCACATAATCAGATTTGAATGCCAGATTATTTAAGGGGGAAAACTGAGCATAAAACCCCAAATCTCGGGGAAATCGGATGAGATTTGACGGAGTTATAGAGTTGGGAAATATTGAGCCATGTCTATATACGAATCTAAGGGGTAAGATTTTGACTTGAATTTCGACTAAAATATACGTATTCAGATTTGAATGCCAGATTATTTAAGAGGGAAAACTGAGCATAAAAAACCAAATCTCGGGGAAATCGGATGAGATTTGACGGAGTTATGGGGTTGGGAAATTCCGACCTATGTCTATATACGAATCTGAGGGGTAAGATTTTGACATGAATTTCGACTAAAATTCACATAGTTAGATTTGAATGCCAGATTATTTAAGAGGGAAAACTGAGCGTAAAAAACCAAACCTCGGGGAAATCGGATGAGATTTGACGGAGTTATAGAGTTGGGAAATATTGAGCCATGTCTATATACGAATCTAAGGGGTAAGATTTTGACTTGAATTTCGACTAAAATATACGTATTCAGATTTGAATGCCAGATTATTTAAGAGGGAAAACTGAGCATAAAAAACCAAACCTCGGGGAAATCGGATGAGATTTGACGGAGTTATGGGGTTGGGAAATTCCGACCTATGTCTATATACGAATCTGAGGGGTAAGATTTTGACATGAATTTCGACTAAAATTCACATAGTCAGATTTGAATGCCAGATTATTAAAGAGGGAAAACTGAGCATAAAAAACCAAACCTCGGGGAAATCGGATGAGATTTGACGGAGTTATGGGGTTGGGAAATTTTGACCCAAGGGTATATACGAAACTAAGGGGTAAGATTTTTGCTTGAATTTCGACTAAAATTCACATAGTCAGATTTTAATGCCAGATTATTTAAGAGGGAAAACTGAGCATAAAAAAACAAATCTCGGGGAAATCGGATGAGATTTGGCCGAGTTATAGGGTTGGGAATAATTAAGCCATGTCTGTTTACGAAACTAAGGGGTAAGATTTTGACATGAATTTCGACTAAAATTCACATAGTCAGATTTTAATGCCAGATTATTTAAGAGGGAAAACTGAGCGTAAAAAACCAAACCTCGGGGAAATCGGATGAGATTTGACCGAGTTATGTTGTTGGGAAATTCCGACCTATGTCTATATACGAATCTGAGGGGTAAGATTTTGACATGGATTTTGATTGAAATTTACATAATCAGATTTGAAAGCCGGATTATTTAAGAGGGAAAACTGAGCGTAAAAAATCAAACCTCGGGGAAATCGGATGAGATTTGACGGAGTTATGGGGTTGGGAAATATTGAGCCATGTCTATATACGAATCTAAGGGGTACGATTTTGACATGGATTTTGACTAAAATTTACATAGTCAGATTTGAATGCCGGATTATTTAGAAGGGAAAACTGAGCGTAAAAAATCAAACCTCGGGGAAATCGGATGAGATTTGACGGAGTTATGGGGTTGGGAAATTCCGACCTATGTCTATATACGAATCTGAGGGGTAAGATTTTGACTTGAATTTCGACTAAAATTTACGTATTCAGATTTGAATGCCAGATTATTTAAGAGGGAAAACTGAGCATAAAAAACCAAACCTCGGGGAAATCGGATGAGATTTGGCCGAGTTATTGGGCTGGGAAATTTTGACCCATGTCTATTAACGAAACTAAGGGGTAAGATTTTGACATGGATTTCGACTAAAATTCACATAATCAGATTGGAATGCCAGATTATTAAAGAGGGAAAACTGAGCGTAAAAAATCAAACCTCGGGGAAATTGGATGAGATTTGGCCGAGTTATGGGGCTGGAAATTTTGACCCATGTCTATTAACGAAACTAAGGGGTAAGATTTTGACATGGATTTCGACTAAAATTCACATAGTCAGATTTGAATGCCAGATTATTTAAGAGGGAAAACTGAGCATTGACAAACAAACCTCGGGGAAATCGGATGAGATTTGACCGAGTTATGTTGTTGGGAAATTCCGACCTATGTCTATATACGAATCTGAGGGGTAAGATTTTGACATGAATTTCGACTAAAATTTACATAGTCAGATTTGAATGCCAGATTATTTAAGAGCGAAAACTTAGCATAAAAAACCAAACATCGGGGAAATCGGATGAGATTTGGCCGAGTTATGGGGCTAGGAAATTTTGACCCATGTCTATTAACGAAACTAAGGGGTAAGATTTTGACATGAATTTCGACTAAAATTCACATAATCAGATTTGAATGCCAGATTATTTAAGGGGGAAAACTGAGCATAAAACCCCAAATCTCGGGGAAATCGGATGAGATTTGACGGAGTTATAGAGTTGGGAAATATTGAGCCATGTCTATATACGAATCTAAGGGGTAAGATTTTGACTTGAATTTCGACTAAAATGTACGTATTCAGATTTGAATGCCAGATTATTTAAGAGGGAAAACTGAGCATAAAAAACCAAATCTCGGGGAAATCGGATGAGATTTGACGGAGTTATAGAGTTGGGAAATATTGAGCCATGTCTATATACGAATCTAAGGGGTAAGATTTTGACTTGAATTTCGACTAAAATATACGTATTCAGATTTGAATGCCAGATTATTTAAGAGGGAAAACTGAGCATAAAAAACCAAACCTCGGGGAAATCGGATGAGATTTGACGGAGTTATGGGGTTGGGAAATTCCGACCTATGTCTATATACGAATCTGAGGGGTAAGATTTTGACATGAATTTCGACTAAAATTCACATAGTTAGATTTGAATGCCAGATTATTTAAGAGGGAAAACTGAGCGTAAAAAACCAAACCTCGGGGAAATCGGATGAGATTTGACGGAGTTATAGAGTTGGGAAATATTGAGCCATGTCTATATACGAATCTAAGGGGTAAGATTTTGACTTGAATTTCGACTAAAATATACGTATTCAGATTTGAATGCCAGATTATTTAAGAGGGAAAACTGAGCATAAAAAACCAAACCTCGGGGAAATCGGATGAGATTTGACGGAGTTATGGGGTTGGGAAATTCCGACCTATGTCTATATACGAATCTGAGGGGTAAGATTTTGACATGAATTTCGACTAAAATTCACATAGTCAGATTTGAATGCCAGATTATTAAAGAGGGAAAACTGAGCATAAAAAACCAAACCTCGGGGAAATCGGATGAGATTTGACGGAGTTATGGGGTTGGGAAATTTTGACCCAAGGGTATATACGAAACTAAGGGGTAAGATTTTTGCTTGAATTTCGACTAAAATTCACATAGTCAGATTTGAATGCCAGATTATTTAAGAGGGAAAACTATGCATTAAAAGCCAAACCTCGTGAAAATCGCATGAGATTTGACCGAGTTATGGGGTTGGGAAATATTGATCCATATCTATTTACGAAACTAAGGGGTAAGATTTTGACATGAATTTCGACTAAAATTCACATAATCAGATTTGAATGCCAGATTATTTAAGAGGGAAAACTGAGCATAAAAACCCAAATCTCGGGGAAATCGGATGAGATTTGACGGAGTTATGGGGTTGGGAAATGTTGACCCATGTCTATTAGGGTATTAACGAGTGGCACGTATAAAATAAATTCTCCTCAAGAACTTTGAAAATTTTTTATATATTTCGAAATGTGGGCAATACCCCTAAATGAATATGGGGGTTTTTCTTATTGCTTTCCGTAATTACAGCAATATCTTATTGAAATTTAAGGCACATGAACTAGCTGACGGTACTTATGTACAAAAAAGCTGCTTGCCGGTTCTTTACTGGTTCTCATTTTGAACTTTGTCGTTACGCTGTTAAAAGGCTCGCACTTTTTGAAGCGGGGTGGCAACGCCGTCTTGTCTTTCAACAGCTTTTGCACGTGCTGTACATGCGCACGTTTCTCGCTGCAAAACATAACTTTTTTGATTCAAAAAATATTTCAAAATGAGCAGCATTTCGACCGAGTTCGAAGTTCAGTCCTCGCTGCCAGACGCCGAGGCCGCGAGCATGGAATTTCAATCGAGGTAAAAGTTGTTCTTTGCAAACTGACTAAAGTTGAGAATGTGAAGCATTTCCACGACAGCAACGATGAAGGCAGCAATAAGGAAAATGAGGAAACGCTCGAGATTACGCAGGAAGATGCCCAGGAAACGTGCAGCAGCCTGTTGGAGCTCGTGTGCGATAGAAAGCAGAAGACCAAGGTGCGCGCAGAGAAATTCCAACAATCTAACCTCACTTTATCATGTGGATCGGACAGTCTGACATGCCTACTCGAGGCACATGGCATTCGAGCCGGCAACCTGATAAATTCATTTTATTGCATATACTATTCCAGGACATCTGCCAGGCCTGGATCAGGTTATATACGTACTCGCCGGAAGCTGCGCTGTTGAAGTTCATGCAGTTCGTGCTGGAGGCCAGTGGCAGTCAGTATCAAATACCTGATAGACTGGGTATACCCTTTGACTTCAGCGACATGCTGATTGCGGCCACGGCACACTTTGGCAATGTGTGTACTTTTTTTATTGCTCCGACATGACCTCACTTTAGATAAGATTTGCAGAAGAGCTTGTTGTATCCGCTGATTATGAAATCGGGCAACTCCTTCGCCCGGAACGTGTGCTACTTTGTGCAGTATCTAATGCGCCTGCTGCACACCACTTCGCTCATTCTGGACGATGTCCTGCTGAAGAATCTGGCCGGCTTTGTCATGGTCTGCGCCGACTCGAAGGTGCGCGCCTTTAGGCACACCTGCACCCTAATTGGTAAGCGCCAGCCAAAAAGCCGCGGAAAGCCCACCTGAAGAGCGTTTGGTCCACTTGCAGGACTCAAGATGATGACCACGCTGTGCGCCACGGTTTTGCTGGATAGCGAGCAGGTCAAGGATATTTGGCTGCAATTGTTTGCCAGCGTCTTCTTGGAGCGCTCCGGCGATGTCGTTGATGAGATACGCTATCTGTGCTTGGTCGAGTGCGGCATTTGGCTGGAGAAGTATCCGCAGTGCTATCTGAATCCGGATCATGTGAAGCATCTGTTCCAGCCGCTGCAGGACAACTCGCGCAAGGTGATCGAGTGCTGCTTCCAGGCGCTGTCCAAGCTGTGGCATAATCCGAAGCTGCGACCCGTTTGCTTGGAGCAGGGCGCCAAGTACCGCATGACCCTGCTGGGCCTGACCATGAGCGCTGAGAGCGAACTGGGCCAGATGGCCATACAGCTGCTGGGGCTGTTCTACAGGGCAAATCCGTTGCTGCTCGACGAGTCCATGCTGCAGGTCGTCGAGCAGCTCGTCTTTGCGGCGCATCGTGGCGTGGCCCAGGCCGCCGCCGACCTGGTGCCCTACCGTTATCAGGAGACGGCGAGCACGGAGCAGGAGCGCATTCTGATCCTGGTGCAGTTCTTCGTACGCTTCGGTGAGCACGAGCATGCCGCCTACCTGGTGGACGCCTTCTACGGCCGCAACGACATCGTGTTGGCCTGGTCCAGCATGGTCTCCATGCTGCTGCAGCCCGATTCGCTAAGCGAGCCAGAGACCTCGGCGCTTATTGAGATCTTGACGCAAGCCGTTAAGCAGGCGGTCACGGGCGAGATACCGCCGGGCCGTTACACCAAGGATCTGGTGCGTCAAGCCCAGCCGAACGCCAAGAAGCTGGCCACGCGAGCTCTGCTGTCCAAGTTGCCCGCCCTGTTGCGCCAGTATCGCAGCTCTGAGCGGGATCTGAGCAATCTGCTGGAGCTGGCGCAGTTCATGATCATGCAGAAGGCGCAGTTCCAGGAGCTGCTCGAACAGATCAAGGACATTATGTTCGAGCCGGAGGCACTCTCCGTGCTGCAAATGGGCGCCATGACGCTGGAGCATTTGTACGGCCTGAATGCCAGCTGCCTGAATCATCGCAAGGAGCTGCTCAACAATGCGGTTACCAACTACATGATTGCCACTGCCGCCTGGGAGCAGTCGCTGGCGGGCACCTCGAGGCTGTCCGAGAAGGATAATGCCAAGCGTCTCATGGATACGCTGCGTCTGCTCGCCACGCTCTATGCACGCTTCGATCTCAACGATTGGCAGCTGAGCGACAAGGTCTTGGCTACGCTGGAGCATGTTCTAGAGGAGCGGGACTCCCGACTGCCGGATGAGTCGGTTTCGCTGTACTTAACAATTGTCTACGTCTCGCTCTCCTGGGATCTTAAGCGCAACAGGGATGCAGCCAAAGCTGGCCGGAAAGTGGCTGAGGAGTGCCGCGCCTTGCGTCGTCGCATGGAAGGCTTTCTCTCCGTTAACTTCCGCCTGATCGAGCACACGTCCATGATGCAAGTGGGCTGCGATGTAAGTTTAGGGCAGTTGCACTTCCCAGCTGAGAATCCTTGAGATTAGCGCCTTCTGCACCTTTCAGGCCTTCAGCTTTACCTGTGATATCTTTGTGCTATTCGCCGATCCGCTGCGCCCGAACAGCTGCGACTCGATTCGCGCCCTGGAATACAAATCCAAAATAAGCGAGTACGAGTTGATCGAGAGCTTTGCACTGCGCTTTGCATTCGATGAAGATGCCGCCGCGCTGCTGGCACCGGACATGTTTTCACTGCTCCAGAGCAAACGGCGCGTCCTGGCCAGCTACTGTAAGCTGGTCTTTCACAACGTGATGCCCGTGATGCGCTCTTGCATTGTGCTGCAGTATTACGAGCGTGTAAGTGGAGCAAGAAATAGAGCTCTGCATCGAGTCAACCCAAAGGCTTTTCGAATACTCGAACAATTGTTTCAGTCGAACGGATCAAGACTCAAAACCTGCTCAAATTAGCTCCAAACTCGACCATTTCAATTGTGTTCGAGCTCGAACATGTTGCATGTTCGAGCTGATCAAACCTCGTTTGAATAAATATCTGCGGGGTTGATGAATCATTTATTCGATAAACGATAGCTAGATTATCCCACTCTTCGAGTATTTGATTTCAATTAACCGATGCAGAGCTTTACTAAGAACCTAGTTCAACTGCGATCCTTCACCAACTCATCTCCCTTATTCCAGTACAATCCGGTCTTTGGTGACATTCTGCGTGCCACTCTGGAGCGCTGCTTGTCTGTGAATCCCGTCAACTGTGGCATGACCGTGATGCACACCTGCTTGCTGGTCTACAAACGCGTTCGAGACGCATATCCAAATGCAGTTGAGGCGGCTGCCTCCACGGATTTCGCGGATCTACTTAAGCTGGCCAACTTGCTGGCAGAACCTTTCAATGCCAAGCAGCTGGAAGTACGCTCCGGCGTGGTTATACTGCATCGTGCGGGCATTCGATATGCCGCGGAGATCATGCCCGATGATCCGACCAGTCCGCCCGAAAATCTACTCTATCTGAGTGTGCTGCAGCAGTTTGTGCCGCAACTGCTCGCCCAAGATATGCTGGATATGCTCAAGTTTGTCCAGTTCATCGATCAGGTGGCCTTGCCCACCAGCCGAGCCGACGAGTGGCAGCCTCTCGTGGCCTATCGCAACGCCCTGGAAATAGCTCTCGTCCAGAGCTGTCGCCGTGAGTTCAAACGGGAAATGTCATTTGGTGTTGTTTTTTAATAACAAATCCTTAACCACAGGTGATGATCTCTCCAATCTGCCCAACTATGCGGTGGAGTAAGTATCAGATATCTAACTATGCGGGCTAATAAGAACTAACACAATCCGCTTATGCCGTCTAATGAAAAACAAATCAACTTTACGCGAAATAACAATTGAAAACTCTTCTACTTAGACAAAGCATATTTTTTTATAATATTTAACAATTTCTAATTCTTTCGATTCAGTTTTCTTTGCTGATAATCGAAAATGTAGTTTCGCATTTGTCTCGCATTTCATTTGTTTCTTAACAAATATCTTTGATATTCCTCTCTTATAATATTTTTCTTATATCTAGAACTCTACCGCAATATCAAATTTTTTCTTCTACTTTCATTTATATTTTACCAAAATTCCTCTGTTCATATTATTACTAACTAATTTCTATTTTATTATATATTCTTATATATATATATATACATATTATATTTTTTATATCATATTTTATTTGACAATTTTTTAAAAATTATTTTCATATTTATTTACATTTCCTTAAGCTCCGTATTTTACATAGCTTTCTATTGAAATATTTTATACAATTATTTTTCTTAGGAATCATAATTTAAATTATTTCGCAATTTCGTTGAAACTGTGCCATATATTTGTACAACTCGATATGATATTTCTTTATGACCTTTTCATCCAATTTCAATCGTATCCCTGCGTATTGCACAATTTCTTTGGTAAACATTGTATTCAATTTCGAGAATGCCCGCAGTCAACGAATATTTGTCTGAATATATTTGATGGCATAATGCAATCTGGGGCATATGATGCCATATCTAACGATGGGGATTCGGCGAGGATTCAGGACCTGAATGCGCTCTGGGGCCGCACTTGATGCAGGATTCAATTTCCTTGCTTTGTATGTGGCCATTGGCATTTGCAGTTTTGAACCTTTTTTCTGTACATATTCCAATGATACTTTTTCTATTCAAGAGTTGCATAATGCACGCGTGTGTATGTCGGTGTGTGTAGGTGTGTGTGTGTGTGTGTGTGTGTGTGTGTCGCTGACTGCATTTAGAGGGTGGCCCGGGTGCATTCAATCAAAGAGGCAGAGCGCGGCAGCTGCCAATGTATCGAATTTCCATGCGTTGAGCTCAACAATTTTCAATTTCGACAAATTGACTCGCTGCTCGACGGGCAGGAACCCGGCTCAGGGCCTGTCAAAGGCTGCACACGAGCCAACACGGCCTTTGACACCCGCTCGAGCGTTGGGTCAGCCTCAAGGTGTGTGTGTGTGTGTGTGTGTGTGTGTGCGCGCCAAATACATATTTTGGGCATGTAATTCAAGTGGACTCGTAGGCACTTCTGTTTTTGGTTTTAGGTAACCGTGTTCCATGTCCATTTCCTTGGCACATGCCAAGTGTCCGGCCGTGGTGTCGCATTACGAAGACATTCAAGTGTCCAGCAGCGCGGCTGACGTCATTAAAACCAGATCATAAAACGAACGGCCGCGCGCGTCTCCACAATGCGGATGCAGCGTTTACAGTTCAGATTTCGTGAACAGCTGTGCGCGAGCTGGAGCCAGTGTTGCCAACTGCTGCCAGAAAAAAAAAACGAACTAATCCAATGTTAACGCAGGCTAAAATTCGAATTTAACTAACTGTTGCCCGTTGAACTGGTCACACTGCCAGCTTGCGTTGCACAGGCGCACAACATCTGGAATCTTGAAATTGGCCCATCTACAGATCTGACGATCTCTGGCAGGTAAAGGTGCCCCCCCTCCCCCCCTCAATTTCGCGTAACGAGCCAAAACAGCGCTAAACAGGAGGAGTCCTTGCCACACAATTCACGCATTTCACGCTACAACGGGAAGCAACGGGAACAGGCAGCCAGGGAGCCAGCGGCACAGATGTGCTGATGCGATCCGAATCAGCAGCGACGGTTGCGGTTTAACGAGATGCGTTGCCGCCTCCGACACACACGCCTCCAACATCGCCCCGACCGATGTCTGTGTGCGATAAACGCTCCTCGCTTCGTCGATTAGTTTCTAGATGGGTTTTCTTGTGTCTTCTTGGCCGAGTTTAAACGAAAGTGTAACAGAACATTTTTTGGGCACATGTCCGACACACACACACACACACACGCGCGCGCGCGCGCATCTGTCGTCCTGCCAGCGCAACCGTTACCCGTTCCCCGTGTTAGGCCCGAAATTTCGCAAGGGCGACACGTGGCACTTGATTCATATCAAATTTCTGGCCACAAATTGTGTGCGCAACTATTTCGTTTTCACTTTCCATCTGTGTGTTTGTGTCTGTGTGTGTGGCCAGAGTAAGAAACCCTTCCTGCTCCCTGCTTCTGTTTTATTTTATTTGTATTTTTTTTTTTTGGTCTCTGCCAACTGTCAACCCATTTGGCCATATTTATGGGCCCTGGCCGGCGGGCATCCAGTTAGGGGAGCCGGTTGGCAACTGTTATTAACAGAAATTTATAGCTCTTTTTTTTTTTGTTTTTGGCAAAAATGTGCAATTGTAGTCAGTAACTCGCGTGCGTTTAAAAACGCGCGCAAGTCGCGTGCGATCATACTAGCTGCGAGCTGGCGTTGCCAACTGCTTTTATTTTTTGCATGTCCAATTGGAACATATGTGCACAGCTTTAAAAAATGGCGATAAATCCGATGCGTATTTATAATATACAATATCACACGCTTTAACAAAAATGAACTACGCAAATAACATCAGTTTCCACGCAATTTGCTACCTTTGCTGTGATTAATCACATACAATATTAATACTCATCAAATATTTGCTCGTGTTCAACAATTGTCGGCTTGTCGCCGCGTAATTCGCACAAATACATATGTTTGTGTGCGTGCGTGCGCGTGTGTGTGTGCATAGAATCCGTTTAATCTGTTGGCGCTCTGCTTCAATTGTGTAATTGCTTTGTTGTTGTTGTATTTGTCAGTCAGCACATGTATGTATGTATGTATGTATGCCTGCCTCTTGTTCTTCTTCGTGATGTTTGCGCGGCGGGCGGTCTGTGTGGTGCACGTTTCGCAAGTTAAATTGTTTATTGTACGACATTAATTAATTGTATATACATAAGTGAAGTGTTAAAACATTCGTTATTGCAAATGTAAACATGATGTACGGTTAAACATGCCGGTGCAACGCAATAAGAAACATAATTAGAAAGAATTGGAAAATTGCATCAGCTTATTCGGGCATAGTGTGACCGTAGTCTGCATATCAAATAATACCAATTGGCAACGCTTTCATTCGGCAAGTGTTTCTTAATTAGAAAATTATATATATAAAGTGCATCAACTTTCGCGCACAGTGTGACCACATACAACATATTTTAAAAATACCAATTGTTCACACTGTAATCTGGCAAGTGAGTCTCATTTGTTAACGTTTAAAATCATTTAGAATTCAATTACAATAATTACATTTTACTCAGGTTATTATTCATTTCGAATACCTACACACACACATACACATGCATGCATATGTTTTGTCATGTTTGAGTGTAAAAACATCAATCGCACATCCATCAAACGGGCAACATTTCCCTTTTTTGCTGTCGCTGCTGATGTCGCGGTGTGTTGTCCTTTGACAAGCGGCGACTTTTTTTTCATTTCCATTGACAAATTTGTAGATTGTCAATCTGGCCCGTGATCTGCGCCCGTGTCCGTGTGCCTTGTCTGAGTGACAGCAAACACACAGTGTGTGGCAAGGATCTGGCCAAGGACAAGCCGGCACAAGCTGTTATTGTTATTGTTATTCTTCTGTGTGCGTGTGTGTGCGAGTGTGTGTGTGTGTGTGTGTGTGTGTGTGTGTGTGTGTGCCTAATGCCCGTGCAAATAAGGCGCGCCGTGTGCTCGGCTCCTGCGCCGGTAGTCCTGCAACTAAATCACTCGCCTGTTTACAAATGTGTCGCCAGCGCGTAATTCAATCCTTGCGCGCAGGATGCATGCGGCAGCCGTCGCCGCTTGCCAAACCAATAAATACCACTTAGATGCAGACCTGGCAACCTTTGTCTGTGTGTGTGTGTGTGTGTGTGTGTGTGTGTGTGTCAACAGAGTCATGTGTTGGCATGTCGCCGTGTGCATATGTCGTGTCCTTTGACTCGGTACGAGGGTGGGAGAGCGGGGAGAGTGTGTCGCTGCAGCTGAGCCTGCGCAGGACACGCATGCGACGCATAAATTAACACGCAGCTCCTTGCGTTGCTTTGCGCTGATTCCCATTGATCCTTGAGCTGCACCTTTGCTCCCCATTAGCACGCGTCCACTTTCGAAGAGCACAGCGCACGCGCAGCATCCACTTGAAAGGATACGCTGCACTCGCAAGCTGCACAAAAGGGCTCGGGCTCGGGCTCAGCTCAGCTCGGCTCGGCTTGGTTTGTCTCAAGTGCAGCCGGAATTGTGGCCGGGTTAAAATTAGTCAGGCCCTGTCAGCAAATCTGATTTAGTGTGCAGCCCGGCAGCAGATGCGCACAAAAGGATGCCTCAAGTCCTCGCATTGGGCCTGTTGCTGCCCGAAATTATAACTTTAGTGGCAATTTAATTAAGCAATTACAAGGGGCTTCTCTTCCCCACTCCGAGTGTTGATTTATTAACAGATGCTCAGATTTGACTTGGCGTGGGTAAAGAGAGAAGAACATATGCGTTCATGGAATGCTTCTAGCAAGCCGCAAGATCTTTGCCTTGTTTGTTTATATATATTCGGAATATATATATGAAATTACATATATCACATTTCTTAAGTTTTGTACTCATATATATTTTAATCAATTTTGATCTAAACTACAAAATATTTATGCCTAATTGCTTAAGATGCCCCTTGATATGTTTTAGTTGTTCTCTTTAGAGATTACTGGTTCCAAGTTTCTTAAAATATTAAAACGAAAATACAATATTGTAATATTGAAGATGTTTCCTTAGATAAAGATTTCGTTAGACTATATTCTTCAAAATATTGAAACGATATTTCTAAAGAAATCTGTTCATATATTGAAGTTTTGATTTAAGAGAGAATTGGGATTTCTTATTGTTAAGTTATTGAGATGAATCTTAAGTTTAAAAATATATATTTATTCCTTGACAAAAGTCTGTGCAAAATGTTGCTGATTCCGAGTTTCTTAAAGAATTGAAAAGAAATAGAAAAAGAAGTCACATTAAACTGCCGAAAGTATTGTCTTTTGATTTCAAGTTATTGATTCCCATTTTGCAATATTATTTTGATGGATTTTCTGATCTGCTCAAAAGCCCTGTAACGGATATTTTTAATTAATTCCATGCTTCACTTATTTGGTTTCAGACCATTTAGATGGGAATAAATGAAGGTCGCACAGGTTTGCAGTTAAGGTCAAGAGTTCGACAGTTTTATGGGCTAGGTCAAGCGTTCGACAGAGTTCAATTTAATGCGATATTTATATCAACTGACACGCACCACAAATTGGAAAATTAGTTGACCAACGCGAGTACAACAGCTGGACAGATGTCCGCACAATGCGACTGCGAGTCGGGGCGAGGGTGTCAACGTTTGTTGACCAAGTGCAACAGATGCACAGAAATTAATTACAAGCCCAGCTGAGGAGCAAAAAAATGCATAAAATATTCAACTTATGGTTGCGAGCAAGTGACAAGTGTCTGAGCAGCTCCTCCTCCTCTTCCTTCTCCTCCTCTGCCTCCGCCTTCTCCACTTCAGCTACAGAGTATCCCCAGTACGAGAGTCCCATTCGTGCCTGAACAATTAATCATCTGCGTTTGGGTCATTTTGTGATTTTTTAACGACTGCGCCCGCTGTCAACGCATCCTTTGGCCCATATCCCAGCGGCGCTTGCTGCCTGGCGGCACATAAAATTTTGGGATGCGCCCTGATAGATGCGAGTGTGCCTCAAGCAGCAGCCCATCAAATAGATTTATTATTGAAAATATTTGTGCCCCATTTGATTGTTACGGGCCGCCCCCACCACAATCTACGCCAGCTACGCATTGAATGTTGTGACAGGGGCCGGAGAGCAAATGTTGTCTTCAATTTATTTCATTACATTGGCATTTTATGATGACTTGGCGCGTTCCTTTTCATTTTCTATATTTTGTTTATACACATTCGAGGCGTTCGATTTCAGGGCAATAAAAGTGCAAATGATGGCTCCTGCTCACAGCAGCAGCAGCATCAGCATCAGCATCAGCTGTCGCTTGTCTTGCGAATGGGTCTTTGAACTTTGCCCAGCGACAGCAGCTGACAGCGACAGTTACCAAATGAAAGCGAAGACAAATTTGCTAACAAGTGATATCAAATATGAAAATCGCTTTACTTTAGATTTTACTCAAAAATTCCCTTATATTAAATAAATGCAGAGGTCAAGACAGGACCAAAATTTCATAGAAAATGTTAGTCTAGGAAGGAGATTTAATTGTAATTGGCAGGCATATGCAAAGTCTTCTCCCTGTCCCAAAAGTAGACCCTTTCAAAGCTTAGGTTTATCTTTTATATATTTTTTTTTAGAAATTTCGAAACCATTTTAAAGTAAAGTTTGTCTTCAGTAGCTGCCTCTCGACTTGGCAATGCACAGAAGCATTCAACGATTGATTAACTTCAGATATGCCGACATCAGAGCCAAATCCTGCGCACAAAACTAATTACGAGGAGTTGGGGGATCTTACACACCTTTACACATAATTAGAGGCCTGTTGACTGCGGCGACAATGAATGGATATATGAATGGTAAACAGCCAGCAACACGTTACCGAGCATGTCCAGCGTGTCAGCCATTCATTAATCCACAGCCACATCCACATTCAATGGCAAGGCGGCGGCGGCAGCGGCGGCGGCGGCGGCTATGACACCACCTGAGCGACGGTTACGTGGAGCGCGCCTTGGAGTGCAAACGGCGGCAGAAGAACAAAGCCACAAGTGCCTATTAGCCACAATAAAGAGGCATCTTCGTCGAGTCTGCATCGTCTCGAGTCCCAATTCTATTATGCTGCTATGCAGATGAATGGGAATGCTTGCGACTGGGTGTGCGTGGTGTGTGTGTATGTGTTTGCTCGCCAGATGCCATTACAATGTAAATACAAGAAAAGTTCAATCGGCAACTTGATGCGGGTCCCCCCAGACCAATGCAGAGGGGTGGAGCAGGGGGAGGGCAGCCAGCACACGTAGAAAGCCATTTCATTAGGCAGACAGAGCCGACATCTTCAGCTCCAGCTCCAACTCCAACTCCAACTCCAACTCCAACTGCAGCTCCATCTCTAACTGAGTGGCCCGACTGTTGAACAATTGATCAAATATCATAATTTATCAAATGACAATGCGACGGCGGCCTCTGTGAGGCGACGGCCCCGATCTTTGTGTCCCGGTCGAACTTGTTTGCTTGCCCCAATCCCCACACCAAACCCAGGCAATTCCACTATCCGATGTCTGTGTCTCTACGTTTTTGTTCTTGATCGTTGTTGTTGTTGTTGTTGTTTTTCGAAAGCTACAACTTAATTTATTTGAACAATTTAGTCTGACACAACAGCAGTACCCAGAATCTAAACAGATCCATTTGGCTTGTCTTGTTCTTATTTATACCTGAATGGCCCTGCCCAATGAAGCTATCAAAGCATCTATTTAGCATAATTGCAGGGCCCAGCCGCGGGCGATTGTATTGCCAGCGGCTCGTGGTGGTCTATGGGTCCATGGACAAAAACCCATACAAGGCACAGTGGAACAAATTGATGTGCTTCACGACGATTTTTCTTCCATTAGGAATAGCGTTCGTTTGGCTCTTGAACGTGGCCTACTCGTTCCCAATTTCTAAGTGGTATATAAATATATAATTTTATATATATTTATAACATATTTTTATAGACAAGATGCGGGATCTCAACCCAAAATTGGGCTCTGTTTTGGTTTAGGTATTTTTCGGACAAATTGTTTGATTTAGGTTTCGATTCGTGCTTAAAAATAAATTGGAGTTTCGGGCTCAAATTGATTTTCAACATGTTTATATGCTAAACAACTTCTACAATTCTTTTAAAATAATTACAATTAATAACAATTATTTTTTAATAATTAATTTATTAAAATATGACTTTCGAAAATGTTGAATCATACAAATTCAGGCGTTCTGTTCCTGTTCACAACTTTAGTAAAATTGTACAAATCAAATTGTTTTCGAATCGATTTACCCACTATTTTGGCATACCCGACTGAATTACTTTGATGGAGCGGTTGTTTTAGAGTATCCTTATAAGTTAATCTCAAAATTGTTTGTTAAAAATCCGCTAAAGAAAGGCAAATATGGCGAATCAGAAGACGTTGGCGACCATAGATCAGGATGCGGAGCAGATGTGCTGCTGCAACTGCAAGAGGAAACTGGATCCGTATCAGATATTCGACGACAATGTGGAGGACATTGCGAAGAGCCTCTCGCAGATAATGCTCATCTGTGGCATAAATACGACCAAGGCCTGCAATGCCAGATCGATTATAAAGCGCGCCTTCATCTATCACGAGAAGCTGCGAACCCGCTGCCCGAAGAGCCCGCCACCGGGCACGCATCTGCATCGGGATGACATGCTGCAGGCGCTGCGCATCAAGTGCGAAATGGAGAGCGTGGAGGCGATGCTCACGTATGCGATCATCAAGCGTGCCTTTAAGGCCTTCTTTCACGGCAAGCCGGACAGATCGATCAGCAATCCCATCCTGGACGCCATGGCCATACTCAACCAGAAGGCAGCCTGGGTGCATGCCGCGTACAAGACGGCGCGCATATTTGACAACTACAAGGCGGCCTTCTTTTGGGCGCACAAGTCCTACGAGAAGCAGATCAATGTTGTCTATCGATCCCTGTACGATCGCATGAGTGCTCGTGCCAATCCCTTGACGGTGCCGAACTGCACTTGCCCCAAGTGCAGGAAGCTGGAGGTGCCGGGTCATCCGAAGCCGGGCGAAAAGCTGCGCGAGAAATTCAAGCTGGCCGATTGCGCGGATCTGCCCGCATCCTGCATACTGTGCGGCCTGCAGGTGCCCAAGATTGATTCGAGCATTAAGATGAAACGACCACGCCCCATTCTCAATCACGAGCTCAAACTGCCGCGTTGTTCCAAGTGCAACTCGCCCATGCTCATCTGTGAGTGCAACATTGACCAGTTGACCGGCGAGCTGTACGGCGAGTGCGGCCAGGACTCGTACAAGGTGAAGTGGTACCGCCTCGAGCAGGAGCTGGAAGCCAACAAGAAGCCGGCTAGCAATACGGAGACCACCAGCTATGACGACGCCCTGGAACCGGAGCACGATTGGCACAATCATCATTGTCCCATCGATTGTGCGCACGATGTTTCCAGCGAAACCTCGAATGTGTGCCATGCGGATGACTCCAATAGCAGCTCCTCATCCTCATTTAACACCTGCTCCGATGTTGGCAGCGACGATGTTATCGAAAAGCTCGAAAAGTATCTCAACAAGCTCTGGGCCGAGGAGCTGGCCGCCAAAAATAATCCCCATACGTATGTGCCGGGCACCTTGTTTCCGCCACGTCCGCCATGCGAACCATGCAAACGGGATTGAATAACTTATTATGACTTTGGCTGTATATGATGACCATTTCGTTAATTTTTCGTGCTCTATAATCAACAATAGTTGCTTTTGATACCCTGTACGAAGTTCGTTCTTTTTGCCTGGTAACATGCCCTTAGGGTATGTCTAGCGCCATCTCGAAATGAATCAGTTTAGTTGGCAACACCTCAGCGATCGCCCACATGCGAACATGGAGCATGCAGCTCCTCCAGGTTTATCGGACGCCCGCAGATCGCGCCCTGACAATGGCCACTTAAATGCCATTGCCAGTTGTAATCGCTGCTAAATTGCTGCCTCGGCTACTGTTGTTGTCGACATTTGCGCCCCCGTCGCCGTACTGGAGGTTCCACATAAATCGCTCGCACATTATCTGCGCACTTGCATCGCATTCACGGGAATGGGAATAGGCCGAGTATGGCACGGGTTTCGTTCGCTTTGGTTCCATCGTCGTCGTCGTCGTCGTCGTCGCCTGCTTATCAATCTCGGCTCATCTGCACGCAGCCATTGGGAACATCTGCGAAAAATAATTCCGCAACTTGTCACATTTTGTTAAAGCGCGCGAGACGCCTCTGCGCCCAGTTGTCGGTGCCGGCTGGTAATGGCCAGGCAAAAAAATTGGCAAAAGTCCTTGACTCAGGCAGCTAGACTATTTTTGGCTGCAACTGCAGCTTCTACACGTCGTTTGGCTGGCGCGTATCTCTTCGCTAAATGCTGACTTATTCTCGAATTCTTGACTTCTCTTGTTTGCCTTGTTCACTTAGAGCTGCATTTGCATATAGATTTATTTTTATGGCCCTCACAATGGATTGGGAGACGTTTAACTCTTTTGGTATTTATGTGTGAGCTTCGGTGCATTTTAAAAAACTGGCCAAAGGGTTAAGCTACACTAGAAAAGTAATATGATATTTCAAGTCAGTTTTTCGATATCTTTGAGAATGTTAACCCAGTTCTGCTTGAGTATTATATATACGAATTATTATGCAAATGCTTGCCAGCTCTAGGCTAGCTGGGCAAGACATCTTTTGTCTATGTATCTTTTTGACCTTTCTATGCGATTTTCAGAAATTTGAAGTAAGCTCAATACTTGGAAGTTAAAAAGTACAGCTCTTTCTTCTAAAACTCTAATATATTTATTTGGATTTTCTCTATCTCTATAGCCCTTCTATGCGATTTTCAAAAATTCGAAAAAAGCCAATAGTCAAAGTGTTTTATTAAGATTTGCAGCTAAGTGTAGCTAGCCTCAAAATCCCTCACGTTCGACTAAAAAACACTCATGTTTTTTATTTAATATTATTTCTTAGCTACTGTTAATTGCAACACCTAATTTATGCCTACAATTTTGATGTACAAAATTGAGAAATAATTTCTTATTTTACTTGCCAAATATTGAATTCGTGTTGCGTTCTCATGAAGCCACTTGGCCATCGAGCACTTGAGAAATGAGAATCGAGAGTAAACAGTGGCCATCGAGTGAAAAGCTCTCGAAGCCAATTGTGGACCACATCGAACCATTGAACTTTTAAAAAGCAATCAAATTTGCGCCTAATGCGATCCCTTTGAGGCGGTTTCCAAGTGCAGCGCATGGAACTTAATAGTCTTTTTATAGCTGCACTTTTTCAACTTCAATTAATGAAGTGTCGAGTTGTTAACACCAAAAACACAAACGCTACGAGCTGTGCCCATCAGGACTGCCCCAGCCACAGCCCCAGCCCCAACCCCAGGCCCAGCCTCGGGGCCTGCCTCGGGCGTTACGCTTCTATTTCCAAACATTTTGCCCACCAGCTACAAATGAGCCCCGAGACATGCTGGGAAAAGCCGAGCAGCGCTTGCTTGGAAAATGTAAACAAACAAATTAAAACGAGTCGAACGGCAACCGCCGCCGCTGCCGTCTCTTTGGTCAGGTTCCGCGGCGTGGCCACCAGGTGAGAAATCGTCTGCAAGTATCTGGGAAGCCAGCAAAGCAAACACAAACAGCCCAAGACAGAAGCAGTCGCAGTCGCAGCAGCAGCAGCAGCAGCAGCCAAAGCAGCAGCCAAAGCCGCAGCCACAGCCACAGCCACAGCAGAAGCTCTTTAATCTTCAGTTGTTCAGTTTCTGAAATGTCTGAAGTTATCTAATTGAATTGAGACATTAAATGGTCGCATTTTTGGAGACAACTTGTCGTGATCGGGCAGTTAAGTGAGCTTTAATTATACATCAGGTCGATTCAAAACGAGACTGTGACGAAAACCGAGATTTGGAACACGGCAATCAATCCTAAGCTACTTCAATAAACAGTGCACTGTGGCTTGGGGTTAAGGTAAAGCATTCAAAAGAAAATAGGTTTATTTTATAGCTTTGAATTTGATGGAAACTAGCTAACGGGAATCTGGGATACTTGTTCATATAAATTAACAGGCTCTTCGTAATCGTAATCGAAGGACTTATCATTTTAGCTAAGTGGAAGTTGGGAATTTACATAAATTGGCTGAAAGTCTAGTCTTGCTCTTCGATATATCGTTCAAAGGGATACTTCATTTCACACGAGGCATATTGCAAATTTGCCAAAGTGCATATCTTTAAATTGTATTTTGTATAACATGAGTTCGTTGTAGAGTAGTTCACTTTTTGTGCTTTTTACACACTTGGTGTCAGGTTAATAGTTAACCTGACCGAAAATGACTGTGGGAAAAACAGTTGGAGCGTCAAATGATAAACCTGTTTGTCAATTAAACAAAAATATTGTAATAGTTGATAACAGAATGGGCAAACAGAGCCCAATGGAGAGTGGAGTGTGGAGTGCGGAGGCAGTGAACAGCAGATGCCGCTGTAGATGAGAACTTCCCAGAACCAGTACCAGTACCAGTACCAGAACGCGAATGAGAATGAGAATGAGTGAATACAAGAAAACAACCTGTCAACCCAACTGGCTGGGCCCCCAAAAGGCAGGCTGGTGGGACCCTGGTTCGATGTGCTTGACGCCCGTCCGTTTCATTATCGCCTTGCCTTCAACTTTGGCTTGGCTTGGACTCGAACATCGCCGCCGTCCACCTTCGCCTGCCCGATCTGGCCTGGTCGTCAGACTTGGCTTATTGTTTAGTGAAGCATTTAACTTATAAATATTGTGTGTGGCAAGAAGAAAAGTGTTTTGTGTATGTGATACCGT